TAAGCCACATTTTGTTTCAGAAAAGAGTTTTGAGAATTCATTCAATTCAGCTCTATATGTTTCAAATTATTAACAATTTTCTTATTTGTCTTCATTCTATTTTCAGTAACAGGAAGTTAAGAACAGCCGCAAACTACTTCATAATGAATTTAGCAGTGAGTGACTTGCTCATGTCATCCACTCAAGCACCTATATGTTTTCTGAACAGCTTCAACCGCCAATGGATTCTTGGAGAAAGAGGTACTAAGCCAATTTGTAATGGATATCTCTTTACTAATATAATAAAAAAATTCAGGTCGAAACCAAACAAATAGATAGGTACTAAGCCAGTTTGAAATGTATCTCTCTGCTACTCTCAAAAAGCAAAGAAAACATTTCAGATGGGAATACCATTTTAAGTAAATTATTATATCACCATGAACTAACTACCTGTTACTATACTGCTTGTAACCAAAAGTCTGCTTGTATCTATAGTTCTGCTTTGCAGGTCAGCTAAGCTCATATGTATCAGTTTTGGTCATTGGCCATGCTGGTACTAAATTGTTGTAAATGTGTTAGCCATGGTTTATGAATAGACTATTTTTATTCTGTAAATGCCTTCCTTGCTGGCATCTTCTGACGTCACTCATTTCTTCTTTGGCAGCTTCTTGGACTGCCACTGGCACTCCATCGATTTGACTGTATCAAAAAGCTGCTTCTGAAAGTGACGTCATGAAGATGGCGGAGGACATTTCCATTTAGATTAAATACAAAAGGTATGTTACCTTTGTGGGTTTCATAACATAATAATACATGGTACAAGAGTGGTTAAACATTGCAATATATATTTTATTCACTGTATGTAAACTTTTGGACTTACCTTACCTTCTCAAAGGGGCCCCAACACCATAGGGGAGACATCTCCAGGTGCATACTTATATCTATGGATAGTTTTCACTGTCCCTCTGGGAACAGAAGAAGATACTGACTGTTTTTGCTCACCTACTCCTCCTCCTATGTATGATAAAGCTATATCACTACTGACCTAGGCACCTACTTTGTGCTTTTTATCCAAACTCAATATATTTTTCAAAGCCTGGTTTGCTCCACACACCATGATTATAACAGATATTTTATAATTTGTTATAGTAAGATGCATTACATTTTTATATATATTTTCTGTAAATGTTAGTGCTTTCTACATTGTGCATAGTTTATTTTTTTAGGTATATTGATTTATTAGCTAGTGATTCTCAGCATGGATTTTATTTTGACAACAGATTTATTTGTAAAATACATGATGTTTAAATATATATACAGTCAAGTTAAAAACATTATCCAGATAAAAATCCTATCCCAAGGCGTAACGCCCCCCTAGACCCCATTGACACATCTCATTTATTCTATTCAATTTTTAATTGCTTATATTTGACAATATCCATGATTGATTTCAATTTCCATGGTTATCCTCTTTAATGTCATGCTTATGTTGTACAATGGGTCTAGCCTTCAACGCGTTTTGCCAATTGGCTTCTTCAGGAAGTTTAGGAGAACGCCTATAGCATATATCTAGTGACCAAACAAATAAATAATATGACTACATTTCATACCCAGTAAAAATACAATGTGAACATCCAATTGCTATGTCATATGGTCAAATATATATACCATGTTTCCTGGAAATTGGTGGTGAGTCAGTCCACCGATTTGAGGGCTAACTTCCATAATCCCAGAGAGGCAGAAAGAGGAGAGGGACACAAACAGATGGCTGAAATGAGGGAATCGGATGGCCCTCAATATAAACCTAACAGGGGATGAATAATAACCACACCTACAATAATAACAGTAAATGAAGGCTCTTACAATACATATAGAAACTACCCTATATATGCTATCAATACTAATATGTCCATATTTCTAATATCAATGCAAGGTATAAAGGTATAAACCTTTGCACGTTGGAGAAACTCCATTTACTTTAATAAAGTTGAACTGATAATAATGTCATCAAATATATAGGGTAGAAAAATAGAGCTGCTTGATATTTACCTAGTTATCTATACACATACCTTCAATTTCATAAACTACACAGTAGAATATGAACAATGCTTATTACTACCAGAAATTACAAAACCTTCTTAAAAATATAAACACATGTAAATGACTTTTGACATTTTTTAGTGAGCATATGACTCTAATGTGCTCTTTCCCAGGGCAGTGATTTGAGAGAAGCAGAATCTGATTGTTACTACCTGGTCTATTACTTAAAAACAATTTATGCAATTGGCCCCTGTCTAGTCGTAGATTAGAAGATGAATTATTCCCCTGGTCTCCTAATCTACAGTAGTTAGAAGTATGCATGCTCCCATTCAAAAAACAATCCTTTATTGAAGTCAATATCATTGACTTTTTTCAGGGACTTAAGTACAGGAAAGGATTACAATTTTTAGCCCCCCCCCCCCCCCCCCCCCCCCCCGCAAAAAAACCCCCCCGAGTGGCAATTATAAATCTGTTCTCCTTTTTATATTCTGGTAAAAATATACATTTTTGTCTTGATTGTTTTTTAGGTCACCTCCATTTCTTGCTATTTTTTTTTATTTGTTTACAGAACTCTTTTGGAATAAAAGTACAACACTTTCTTTTTTTTTTAAACTGTGTGTAATTTTCATTTGTGTATTTGTTTAATCCCTAGCTTGTAACATCTATGCATTCTGCGGGGCTCTGTTTGGAATAACGTCTATGATGACTTTATTGGCTATTGCTCTTGACCGCTATTTGGTAATCACCAAACCCCTACAATCCATACAATGGTCATCAAAGAAACGAACACTACAAGTAATTGTTCTTGTCTGGCTGTATTCATTAATGTGGAGCATAGCACCATTACTTGGCTGGAGTAAGTTGAATAATTTGAACAAGTAGCATTAAAGAGGCACTCAGACTGATTAAATTCTCACGGATAAGCCAGAGACATAATTCGAAAAAGGGATTTAATATTGTGTAATGTTACTGAAGATTAGTAGACTAGCTGTTTGGGATATTACATTACTTACAAAGCCTTTGAATTCTGTCACATTATTTTTTATGAATATATTTTTTTTTCTTCTTGTGATTTAAAGGAACATGACTTATAAATGGAAACCCCTGTCTACTTTTAGGCAGTTTTAAATGCTTATGGCAATGTTAGGTAATTTGGTTAATGGTTGCAATATAGGAAATGCAAGAAAGTTACTACACATGGAGATTTTTTAACTTGGTGAGGAAATGTACTAACAATGCATTCTAACCAGCCCATCATAGTAAGGCTGCCTTACTATCCAAAAGAAACATATCACAGAAGCAGGCATGCTTTAACCTTATCAGGAAGTGTTGGAGCTTTTCCCTTCAGGACAGCCTGGCAAATCAGACAACTCTAGGTACCTGACACCAGATTTTATTTTAATAATTTTAAATCTCTTACTAATGCTGTAGTTTGGTTAATTAGGACTGCTGCTTTGGATTTATGTAGACCTAATATATTCTTTTCCTTAGGTTCTTATGTACCTGAAGGTTTGATGATATCATGTACATGGGACTATACAACAGCCACAACAGCAAACAAAAGTTACACTATGATGTTATGCTGCTTTGTGTTCTTCATTCCGCTGCTTGTGATTTCACATTGTTATCTACTAATGTTCCTGGCAATTAGAAGTACAGGCAGGTAAGAGACCATTCCATCCATTATTAACTTACCATATACCGTGTTTCCCCGAAAATAAGACACTGTCTTATATTTTTTTTAGCTCAAAAAAACACACTAGGTCTTATTTTCGGGGTAGGTCTTATTTTTGTTTTTAATGTATAACAATCCAAAGTTAATGCAAATCCAAATTGAATAATCCAAAATGGCAAAGTTAAGAATAGGGTAATCAGGGCAATAAGGGGTGCCCTACCTTTCCAAGAGCAATTTGGTAATAAGAAAAAGCGAAGCTTACTTTCACTATAGATTCCTCACAGGCCGAGTGCATTTGGTATCACTCCGCCTGTTGCAGGAGCCGGGGGTATAGAGGAAACATCGGCTTATGCGGGTGTGCTCCCTGCGCTGCCGCCTCGCTTCCTCTAGCGCTGGCTTCATTGGCACTGCTGATTCTCTCCTGCAGCTATTCAAGTTCCCCCTCAGGCCTTAGCGGCCATGGGAATGGTCACAACTAGGTCTTATTTTCAGAGTAGGTCTTATATTTTAGCAATTCCCAAAAATGGTACTAGGTCTTAATTTCGGGGTAGGTCTTATTTGCGGGGAAACAGGGTATGTACATGACATGAGTTATCTGTACAATACTTGATCTCTGTTTTATGTTTAATTGAAAAGCTTATTTTCTGTTTTGCTTGGTATGGGTTTAGCGCTGAGCGAAACTTTTATATCCCTCAATATTTTGGTGAAATTCTGCCATTTTGGCAAAATGCATGCTGAACACAGCGACTTCCTGTGGTTTTTAAAGGTGTAGTAGGTTTTAATGTGCTCCTGAGGGATACAGAAGCAACTATCCTGAACCTCTCAATTTCCTCAATTATTTTAGTTTTTTTCAGAGAAAGGAAAACCAGAAAGTAAAAAAGTATTCAACTTATTTCCATTTAACCAAATTAACTCAAAAAATGTTCCCTTAAGATCACAATCAAGGGATCACTTAGCATCTGATCCCTTTTCTTCCACCAATACTCATCCCTTTGAACATTAGATAGACATATTTCTCAGTCACTTTCCAATTAATACCCAAAAACTCTCTCTAGCATATCCATGAAAAAAATTCTACATTATTTACACTTAGGGAATTTTTTTTTATTCTGACACGGAGCCGTGTCAGAATAGAAAAAAAAATTACAAAAAATGTTTGGCCATAGGAATGCACTGCTAGATTCGGCTTGTGTCAGAATATAAAAAAAAAGAAAAAGCAGTGTTTGTCTCCTTTTCGTTTTCTTTTTTTTGTTTTTTTTTTACGGCAGCAGAACCGCCGGCCAATAGAAAACAGTTGGGCGGAGATAGCTGTCACTGCTAGCTCTGCACAATCATTTTATTTTTATTTTTTTCTCAGCGGCATTCGGCTATTCACTCACTGCTGTTCGGCATCTATAAGAATAGACAGAACAGCAGCGAGTAGCCTGCCGGAGGTTTCGGCTTAGTCGATCCAGATGTTCGGCCGACCCGAAGCCACCCGATGTACGGCTGATTTCAGCCGATATACGGCTGAAATCAGCCGTACCAGCACTTAAAAAAAAAAGTATCAGCACTTCGCTTTAGGTTGGTCATTCACTCTGCTGCCTACGGCAGCTTAGTGAATAGACCCCTCAGTAGCTTACCTACTGGGTTTTTTAAATGTCCTTTTCTGTTGTTGCTGTTCAATATCATGCTATACAATAACTTTTAATTGTTCTGGCTCTATGATTACTATTGGTAACTAAAAACCACATTTTATTTAATAGCATCAGACTGAAACAAAAAAGAAAAAAACATAATTAAAAAGAATATTCTGAGATTTGATTGCCCACTAAGTTAATTTAAAATATTCAGCACTGTGGCATATTGGCCATGACACGACTTGAACTGTTCTGCAGGGACCTACCCTGCTTTTTGCTGCCTTCAACATGAGTCTGTCTCTGAAAGTACAATTTATGGCATCTTTATTGATCTAGGAAAGGTGATCTACAATGTCTCTAAGTTGCATGATACACCAGCTGTAGCTGTAATTCATTTTTGGTGGTGTTACATACTGTTTATTGCCAGCTGAGCATTATACCAAGCCACAGCTTTGATAATTAGATAACTACTTGTCATAAAGATTAGCAGGAATGCACTATTCCAAATAAGGGAATTATATGAAAAATTGTAAGAAAGTAGGACTTCTAAGAGTTGTTTCTTAAAAGTGGTATTTAAAAAATGTTTTATCTTGTATCCTTATTGTACATACAAATTAAAAACACAAACATATTTGCTTACTTTTCTATAGAATAAGTATGGAAATAGGGGCTGTCATTATGTTATATGTATATTTGCAATATAATATATACTGTATTATCAACTACTAATGAGATAGACGATTAGAAATTGAATAAGAAATAATCTGTAATGGAGATATTATAAATAATTAATTGAAATAGATTATTTAAAGAGTACCTCAGCACAGAGCCATAGCTAGCTCCTTTTGCACCCGAGGCAAGAAAAAAATGTGCCCCCCCAACAGGCATATGATGTCACCCAAAGCCGCATGTGCTGCGCCATGGGATGTCATGTGCCCCGCCTCCAGGATGTGTTTTTTAAATTTTATTATTTTTTATTATTTCTTTTTTATTATTTTTTTATGTTTTTTTATTTAATTTTTTACTGCTGGGGGGGCTTTGGGGAAATATTGGGGGTCTAAACATCCCCTGATATTTCCATTTTAAAATAGAAAAATAAATGTAGGACATAAAGTACTCAATCTTTTTTTTCTGCAGACTCTGTTCTAAATGAAAGGAAAGTACAGAGGCTTCCCATTAATTCAGAAAATATTTAATATCAACCAGTTTCTGATTGGAGAGAAGCCTCAATACAAAGTGCAACAAACCATTGAGAAGCTCATGAATGAACAGGAAGTGATGTAAAGCACTTCCGGTTCATTCATAACCGGGGACACATAGTACTGTGTACCCAGTTATTTACAAAGTGCCATCCGTGGTCACTTCTAGCACCCACCTGGCTTTAGCGGGTTGAAGTATACCGGTAAGGAGTGCAGCAAGACAATCTATATATCACAGTTATTTTCAAACACTGGAGTGATCAGCCGCTGTCACAGCAGCATGGCCTCAGTCGCCTCACCCTTGCTACGGCCCTGTCTCAGCAACTGAACTATGCTTAACATTTCCAGATATAAATAATGAGAAATATGTTGATACAGTTACTGGCTGAAAAGGCACAGTGAAAATACATTGCATTCTTCATAATAAAATATTTAAAAGGCTATGTTTGATTTTAATAGTCACCATAAAATTGAACATTATGTTGCTTTAACCTAAAAGATACAATAGTAGAGTCACAAGGTAAAACTACAAGTTACCGTTTAGGAATGGCAATAATTGTTAGTGTTGTTTTCCTCAGGAACGTACAGAAGCTTGGATCTTGTGGAGGTCAATCCTGCATGTCCTCAACTATGAAAAATGAATGGAAAATGGCCAAAATAGCTTTTGTTCTCATTACTGTCTATGTTTTGTCTTGGTCACCTTATGCGTGTGTTACACTGATTGCATGGGCTGGGTAAGTAGCTAACTTGTCCTAAAGAGGAATTTTACCCATATCTTTAAAATAACAATAAATACACGTTTAGAAATGTTTAGCAATGACAATCTACAAACACATACTTCTAGATAATTGCTGGCTTTTTATTCTTTGCATACCTTATTTTTCTTTTTCTCCCCAGTCTTCTCACAGTGGCCATTTTGACTAAGGGCAGCTTACTAGATCTCCCTTTACTTCCTGGAACTCTGGCACCTGTGACTAGGACATGTGACCATGTACATCCTCTCAGGGAGGTAAATGTCTTTCCCTGAGATCTTTTGAGAACACAGATGAGATTTCCCAGCAGTGCTCTTCTGATGTTACCTTCCCAGGATGTAATACTTGGGCATGATTACATAATGTGTGCCCAGATGGACCAGGAAGTAGTAAAAAAGAAATTGAAGTAAAAAAAATATGTTTACCCAATGAATGTAAGATGATTTCATAACAGCGTGCAGAGCTGCATTTTGATGTGATTTTTAGTGAAAGGGGTTAAAGGTCTACTTTAACTATTTGTGTTCAGGCTGCCTCTTAAAACGGCACAGGGAGAGAGGCCATTCATTCCAGTGTTATTTTAAAATGGCATTTTTAAATATACTTTTGTACTATTTCTTCCTAATAAAACTTACATATAGGTATCCAATTCTACTATTAAAGCCCTATTTTTCATGTGAAAAACAATGTAAGACATGTTAGGATAGACTACACAAGCTTAAAGATATAAAGAGCAGAACTAAGGGGGTTATTCACTATTTAGCCGAAGGATACAGCCATAGCTTCGGCTGATCCTTCGGCTCTCTTCAGCCGAACCGAAGGGGCTATTCACAATTTGGGTCTTTACTGCAGATATCTTCAGTTGTTTGTTTGTGGCTCTTTCTGCCTCAAAGTAGAATTAAACCTTCTTTTTTTTTGCATATATCTAGCAAGCAGTAGATATATGCAAAAACATTTTAAAAAAATACCAGGTTATTATTTACCTCTGTCTGCGCCGCTCGCTCCCGTCCGAAGATTTGAAGATTCTCGAGTGGTTATGAAGGATCATTGGGCGGGCGCATGCTCAGTAAAAATCTTCGGCCGGGAGAAGAGGAGAGCCATAGGGTATGTCAATGCACGCAGCCTGGCAGTGTGCACGTGCACAGACACCTTGGACACAGAAGACACAGCAGTCAGCGCTGGATAAGAGACCAACACCAGCGCTGAAGGGACTGCTGAAAATTACTGGAAAGAAGAAGATCAGATCAAGAGGCATCATTTAAGGATTTAAGGTAAGTCCTTAAAGCAGCATGGGGGGGGCGTGACTTTAATGCCAATTTAACTTTTGTCCTCGGCAAGTGAAATGCTTGCTTGATCAGGGTTAAGATCAGGTGATTGATGCGGCCGTTGCAGAATATTCCACTTGTTTGCCTTAAACTCCTGGGTTGCTTTCACAGTATGTTTTGTGTCCATCTGTAGAGTGAAGCGCCGCCTAGACATGTGCATTCGGATTCGGACGAACCTGCAAATCAATGAAAATCTGTTGATTCGGCAGTTCATCCAAATCCGAAATAATGAATTTAATATATGCCCGAATATACTAAAACGATATTCGGGCATGCATAAATTGTTTTTCAGAACACGCTGGCGGCCATATTGGCCACCAGCGTGTTCTCGCATGCCCGCCTCCATCCACCTCCATCACATGGCGGTGACGTCACACGCTGAATGAGCGGTGGCCACCGCACGTTCCACACATGCGCGCCGCCATTTTGGAATAGATCTTGGTATACACCAAGATGGCGGCGCTCGAATGTGAGCCAATATGGCCGCTGTTCGTTCTGCAGTTTCAGTGTGCGGTTTCGGATTCGGAGGCTCGTTGCCTCCAAATCCAAAACAACATTAAAATATGTTTCCTTTGACGAAACGAATGAAACCGTTTTTCGTTTTCATTCGTTTCGTCTGTAAGCAATTTTTTTTGCTGTGCACATGTCTAGCGCCGTCCAATCAACTTCGCTGAATTTGGCTTAATCTGAGTAGAAAACACTTTAGAGTTCATCCAAATGCTTCTGTCTTCTGTCACATCATCAGTAAACACTAGTGACCCAGCCACTCATGTGCATGCCATCACAGTGTTTCCACTGTTTCCTCCCCTGGCATCAACTCCAGACCTTTAACCTGCTTAATTGATGATGAAATAATGAAGGAGTAGCCCACACCTGTACATGAAACAGCGTTTGAGTCAATTGTCCAATTACTTTTGGTCCCTTGAAAAAGAAGGGACTACAAATTAAACAGCAGTCATTTCTAAATCCTTCCTCCAATTTGGATGTATATACCCTCAACTTAAAGCTGAGAGACTGTTCTTTAAGCCCAGATTATTTTTTTAACTTTAACTTGAATTTAGTTTGGTAAACAGCCAAAATAACAAAACGTGTGTCAGTGTCCAAATATTTCCAGACCTAACTGTATATTCAAAAACCCTACATTTTCTGTATATGCATATGATATAATAATTCATCTCCTGTCTTGATATTTTAGTCATGGGAAATCTTTAACCCCATATTCCAAGACTGTTCCTGCAGTGATTGCTAAAGCTTCTGCAATTTATAATCCTATTATCTATGGAATAATTCATCCAAAGTACAGGTAAGTTAGTTTAGTTATTTTAAACTAACTGACATTGTTTTTAATAATTTTATTCACCTTCTTTTCTCTGATTGGAAGCTGAAGGTGCTTTAGTTTTCAAAATGCTTTATTTGAAAGAGGACTAAAGCTAAACTTTTTTTGGCTTTAGCTCTCTTTTGTGTCACAAGAGCACAATTACTACTGTACTCCTGTGACCAAAACTGAGCAGATAGTGGGATACTGCCCGCTATATGCTGACAGTGAATAGCCGCAGTACAGCTGGGAAAGATCCAGCCCACTGCCTGATTGAGATCTTCTTCCATATCTGTGAGGGTCTGCTTGGGCATCTAGAAATTAGATAGGAGAAGCTGAAGACTCTCTAGGATTCTGTGTGCTTCCTCTGGTGAAGAGATAATCAGGGGAATTAAAAAAGAGTGTTGTTGAGACACACAAGGAAAGTGTCTCATGGTTACAAGGAATAGTGTAATTATTTGTGCCAAATTCATGTACAAGATTGTATAACATTCATGAATTTGGTGCAAACCTGTGAAACTGGCGCTGGCATGTGAGACAAACTTTGGGACAAATGTATGCATAATGATAAATTATATAGATGTGGCTGGTCTCTGTTCAAAGTGTTGCAAATGTGCCTGAGACAGATTTGAGTTGGATCCTCAAGGAATGTGGCACCTGAGGTATGTGACGCATATTGTGACAGGCATATGCAATATGAAGGTGCGACAGACTAGTTAGGCCAAAAAGTACTTGGTCTTACTTTACATCCCTTTTCTTATTAGAGAAGTTTATTTATTGAATATGTCGCAAGCACAGCACCATAATGAAATATGGTGTATATAAGAACTACTTAAATCTGGCACAGAAGTTGGTAGAGGTCTGGAAAATGATGCAGCATGTTTTACAATTTGGTGCAGACATTTATTAGGCTTCAATAGTGGCAGAATTCTGGTGCAAGCGCAATATTGAATTCCCCAAATGTACAATTTACCATTGTGTTGTAATTTGAGCTTAAATGGGAAGCCCCAGGCATATTTAATGTGGTGTGATTTTAGAGTTGACAGATGAGGTAGAGGAAGACTTCTTTTTCATATTATAGTAGGACTATAGATCCAAATAGAGTTTGTATTAGTGGCCCTGGAATGTGAGGTTAGGCTTGTTGTGAGCTTCCAAAAAGATGATATCCTTGGTTTTATGATAGAGAGCTATCACAATTATGTAGTCCCAGAACCAGGTGGATTCTGTCAAACTCCAGCCTTTTAATAGGTATTCCAGGGAGCTCTTGGAATAGTGCCATGACTGTAGACTGAAGGTCTTCAATAATGCTGGGAGGCCTCTGAAGCAAATGCTCCCATGCCTGGTTCAATTTTCAAGATAGAAAATGTTTAAAGCTGATTTTAGGGACTGAATGTACTGCTCATGAGAGTAAATGACTATAAAATCATTGTCCATTTTTGTTTTATAGTAAGTAATTACCTAGTTCGCTGGTCTAGTTAATTTCCACTGATGGACTATGTTACTTGTCAGATGTTACATGCACAATGAAGTTGAGAGGCTAGAGTAATGGACAATTCAGCATTGCCAAGGGGTATTTCAAGGAGATTTCTCCAAACAATTGTTATTAAAAGAGAAATGTTGGGAGAGTAAAATATACTCTTCCCAATACTTAGAGGTGGCGTGGGACACTGCAGCTGTCACACGCCGGCTCTTTATACTGATAACTGAGTGACTGCATGACCACTGATCGTTCAGTTCACAGTCTCCTCCATGCAAAGAGTAGTGACTGTCAATCACCCCCGCTCCCCACAGGGTTTCCCTTCTGACCTCTCTGTTCCTCCAGCGTTTACTGGAGGGACAGACAGGGGAGGGGGCAGACACAGTAGAAGGAAAGGCTAAAAAAAAAATCCACATTTTAAAAATTCTCCCCCCAAGTGCCCTTACACTTGCTGTATACAGTTTGTAAGAAATTACAATGTAAATACCATATTTCCCCTGTTTCCAAGCAGGCACATGACTGCACAGCTTCGGTAACTGTGTCCTGCTGCGTGACTGGTGGGAGGAAACTCTCATCCCCACTGACAATGCCTAGAGCAATGGACGCCGGTGGGAGATGTTACTGTTCAAGGATTTCATGATTGCACAGAAGGGCACATCCATGGGAGCTGTGGTTCAAATTCCAAAGTAAGGATTCATAGCATAAGTTGTTTTTGTGTAGTTAGTTCACTAGAAGCGCTGCGGAGATTATATTATTAGGTATTAACATTGTGATTTAATATAACTTTATACAGTAAGAGTAATAGAGTGAGAACGTTTAAACATGTATTATTTTAGCCTTTCCTTCTACTTTAATTGTTTTTTTTTTTATATAACACATAACCTTAATTAAATGGTGTTTTATATCTGCCTGGATTTCAGCTCTAGTTGTGTGTAGCATCTGATCCACATTATACTACAGATATATAGTAAAAATAGTCCCACTATACTTTACATTGAATCTAAATATATTTATTTTTCCAGGGAAACTATCCACAAGACTGTGCCTTGTCTTCGTTTCCTCATCAGACTACCAAAAAAAGACAGCATGTCAGCATCTAATTTTGAGTCTTCCTTCAGGGCTTCTGTCTACAGTCGACAGTCAACAGTATCAAGGAAAAAAAACAGCTGCATTTCCACAGTTTCCACAGCAGAAACAGTGAGTTGACATTTTTGGAACAAACCATCTAGTGGACTGTGTAGGTATGTTTGTTATAAATAAACAAACATTAGTCTTATTAAACATGAATTGCTGGGTGGAAATGTTTTTGTTGTTCTCTTCCTGACAAAATCAACTGTGTATAGTACATTATAGTCGATCTAAAGCCAAAACGTGTATGTATACAGATATAGTTGTAAAACCCTTGTAACGATTTTGCTACTATTTTTGGAAATTCACCCTCCCTGTTTGTCTTGGTGACCCTTGACAAAGTGATGCTTCATCCAAAATGTTACAGGTGTCAGAAGGCACGACAGGTAAGGGAACATTTTTCAATGGTTTAAGTTCACAGGCAGGGATGAAATTTGGGTTTGGGCAAGCCCAGACCATTCAGCGTTTGTAAGCCTGCCGAACTATTGTGGATGTTGGTGGCCGTTGACCCACCCAAATACCAGGCGCTGCATATTTGGTCTATGATATCACCCCGGGATCCCCAGTCCTATGTTGACATTACTGCAATGCCTGGAATCAGACTCCTATAAATATAGCCTCAAACCTTATAGTATAATATAATGTGAAACATCACATGTTTCTGTGGCTACATGCAAGTTACTTGAAGGTTTGTTCTTTCCTGTTGACACAGGACACCCAGAGCTGCAGTACTTCTGCACAACTTTCTCTTATAGCGAAATCTAAGTGTTCCCAGCTTGCTGAAAATCTTATTCAAGCTGTATTGTGATTTTTACTTTAAATATAACTAAAGGCAAAACTTTTTTTTAGATTTGGATAGAATGGTAGAACCATTGTCAGGTTTTTATTGCTGTCAATGTCCTTTTAAGGGAGATTCCCTTTCTCCAAATGCCCTGGTCAAACACTGTCACAGAGAATGAAAGTAAGGTCAAATCAAACATTTTGAGTTGCCACCAGAACAAGAATAGAGGGGAGATCTTCCAACACGGACACTTGTCCTCGTGACAACTGTCTAAAAGGAGATTTCCCTCACAATGGAAAGATATCCAACTGTATAAAAGGAGATTTCCCTCACATTGGAAAGATATCCAACCGTCTAAAAGGAGATTTCCCTCACATTGAAAAGATATCCTCTCACTTTCCTTTAAGTCTGCAGAACATGAAGAAAAGGCTCCTTAATAAGACACAGAATACAAAAGAAAAACTGACAGTATTTTACTCTCTGCAAAATGAAAAAAAAAACTAGCTTTAGATACAGTGGGGGGAATTTATCAAAACTGGTGCAGACTGAATTGGGAGCAGTTGCACATGGCAACCAATCAGCTTCTCTCTTCAGTTAAGTTTTCATAAATTCCCCCCAGGATACTTTTCACTGTTTACATATTGCTTTTGATACTTGATACAAATACAGATATAGATAAGTGTACAGATATAGATAAGTGACAAAGGTTCCAACCTTTCCCTATCTCACTAAATAAAAGTGTCTTTTTTTGGCTGCATTTGCCACTTTGTATAGATTTTCCTTTGTTGTCTGCCCCTCCCAGCACCAGTGACTGGGAAAAAAAGTAAGGGGGACACAGATACAGAAACAACAGGACTGTCAAAAGTTCTAACCTTTCCCCATTCTTTGCAAAATAAAGAAAAAAAAGTTTTTTGCTTGACTTCCAGTTAACAATATATAAACAATCTCTGGAATACACCTCCTCAGTATTAATATCCATCTCTTACTACACCCTAGAAGTTTAATCTGGATTATCCAAATCCCATCACCTCTGCTGAATGTCATCGTCCTTACTCACTGTATAAAGTGTTCCTTACTTTTTAAAGTGGTATTAAAGTTCAATATGTTTTTCATCTATTTCAAATGCTGACTACATCACTTACAATGGACACTGCCCTTTGATGATTACAGCAGAACTCTGGGAAATCAAATCTTAACCCTAGTGGTGAGGCTACCCCTGCACTGCAAAGGTTAAGTGCTCATTTTGTCTGAGAAGCTAAAATAAAAAGTTATACTCACCCGAACCACAATCCCGGCTGGCTCCTGCATCGCTCCCTCTGGCCTGTCCCCCCCTGCTTTAAAAGTTGTAGCTTCCTGCACATTTAGCTGGTCCTCTGAGCATTCGCCCGGATATTCTGTTTTAGGGTGGCTCCTTTCCCTTGCAGAGTCCTATGGAGTTACACTTGTGTATGCTAGTGTGTGATTTCCCAAACACATAGACACAGCAAGACACTCCCCCGCCTTCTTCATTTCTTCTCCAAGCTAGCAAATGGACAGCTTCTAGAGTCTGCTCAATCCATTGTGATCTTGTACAGGACAGGAAGTTCAGGGAAGCCGAGCTGAGAGAGTTGAAGCCAGCTGTTTAGAAACATGATGACTATAAGTGCTTGGGCAAAGATTTTAGGAAATATTTTGCTGGGCAATGTATGCTTGTTAGATGTGGATTTATTATGAAATTATCTAATTCAGAATAATTCCTCATCAACAAATATTTAGTTGGGGTTTGTAATTTGCATCACTTCTTTGTATTCTATTTGATGTACTTCACTGCGAAAAAATTTAAATCGTTATAGAAATGGGGGATAATAAAAAAAAATTAAATTGGACGTTGCTTCAATACCCCTGCATTGTATAGAAGATCATTTGTTACAGTTACAAGGTAGAGTCATTTCTGTTAAGAACGAGTGCAGTGTTGAATTATAAAAGAGAAAAAGTCAGGAAATACTGACTGCCAAATAGAATAGACAGCCTTTGCTAGTGTCTGTACATTATTCGTCCAAGCCTGAACAAAGCCTGACAAAAGGATCCGAGGAATCCCAAAAGCTTGTATCTTTAAAATCTTAAAGTGTTTTTCCACTTTTGCAGCCCGCTTGGGATAACACCTTTTATATTTGTTACAACCTAATAGGTTGGACTTGATGGACTAATGTCTTTATTCAACCTCAAATACTATGTAACCTATACACATAGCATAAACTGAAAGAAATATTTAAAAATGCTTCTTGAAGTTTTAATTGCTTTTACTTGGGTTAGGCTTTCTTGGCTTCTTAAGGGTAAAACATTTACTTGGCTTCTACTTCTTTGTAATGTTAGGAGGTGTAAGGGTTTCGCATTGTTTTGCATTGCATGTTAATAAATGTAATGAGAGAAACACAATACTAAAAATTCAGTCCTAAGCCTTTCTATAAGGCGCTATAAGGCTCTCGATTCAGACATGTTGCCTGCTGTAACAAAACATCCAAAAGGTAAGACATTATTTTTCTAAATAATCTTTAATTATGTTGTGTGAACAGGAACGCATAACAAACATGTAGATGGTTTTTTTTCAAATTTGGCTGCAAGAGTGGAAATACACTTTTTTTTATTCCATAAACTTTGATAACATTTTTAACTTTTATATCACAACAAAATAAATACACTTTTAGTTAGCCGGTAATGGGTATAATTTAACCTCCAAACTTTCTGTATTAATCAATGGCTAACATGGTACAATACTCTACTATTACTCTTCCAAGACTCATCCACGTTACCAGCCGTTCAGTGTACTCCTCCCCTCTCTGCCAATCCCTACACTGACTCTTACTTGCCCAATAAATAAAATTAAGAAAATACTAACAAATAGCATACAAAGCTTTCTACATTTCTGCCAGCCTCCCCTCAAAATGTCACCTAAACTGTCCTCTCCGTTCCTCTTAGGACCTCCTGCTCTCTAGCTCCTTCGTCACTTCCTCCAATGCTCACTTCCCGGACTTCTCCAGAGCAAATGTATCCCTTTATCTCCTATTCTGTTCGCAATCCTTGAAAACTCATCTCTTCAGGGAAGCCCATCCCACCCCTACATAACTGCCCCTTTACTTCATTCATTAGCTCATCCCACACAATTACCTTTTATATTGCTTGCCCCTCTTACTAGATTGTAAGCTCTTACTAGCAGGCCTCTCCTAACCCTCCTGTTTTGAAACTGTATTGTAACTATACTTACTCTCTTCATTTTGTAAAGTGCTGAACAAACTGTTGGTTTTATATAAATCCTGTACAATAATAATAATAATAATTATAGTATCCAAGGCTAAATCTTACAAAGAAATCACTATGTAGTAGGCAAAGCAATTTTATCCGAAATTAGAAATAGTCAAATCTAAAATTATTGTTGGGAAACAATAGAAAAAAACCTTGAGAAAATATAAAAACACTATCAATATAACATTTATAAGGGGGATCACCTTAACTGCTATGTCCAATTACTACTGACATGCAAGTAATAGAGGGAGGTATAGGGTGCCACCTCCCACACTAGTACATTCTATTGTAACAAAATACAAAGACAGACTTTTTCCATCTTTAGCCGCCAATCAAGGAATAGTTACACTAGGCTGGTTGCTGTATAAAAATGTAAATTCTTTAGTGTAAACACTGCTCCCAAAAATACAATTCAACTTCTTGAAACATACTGTAGGGATACACAGCCTTCCTTAAAACTTCAAACAGTTCTCTGCAGTTAGATTTCTAGTACTCACACAGGTCCTCTTCTTCCTAACCCCGTGGCAGTCGCATTTGTGCTGCTCTATCTTCTCTCATGAGGACAGAAGTTCCTCTTCAATCTGTTGCTCCTCTGTACAATCTCCCTACTCGCTTCTCCCTTTTACTCCTTATATATAGAAGAATGCACAGCCTGAGTGACAAGGCACGCACCTAACAGCGGACGGGGTTGGACCACCCATAAAAGGCTCCTACACACTGGTATAGCAAGATTGCTCTAAAAGCTTTCTTTAACATGTCTGCACAATATCTACTCATTCGTATGAAAAGGCCTTCCATTATTTCTCCCACCAGTGGATAACCTTTTCATTGGAATATATGGACATTGCAACACACATGCAGGTCTGGCACCCCTTGCACTTCATAGTAGTTATCGCTTCTGCCGTGCAGCACTAGGGGTCCCTGGTTCAAATCCTGGTCAAATCACTATCAAGGAGTTTACATGTTCTCCCTGTACCTTCATGGGGTTTTCTCCAGTTACCTCCTACAC